GGCTACCTCCGTGTGATGTTTGCTTTGTTGCCATGGCAACAGACGTTTTGGCGCTCACACATCATATCCGGTGCTCTGATGATTGACGCTTGGTTACTCTGTCTCATACACACACACACACACAAAAACACACTGCATGCAACACACACGTGACACCATGAGAAAAAAGAAAAAAAAGGTCTCATCTTTGTCGCTAAGACTTCTGTTCGCTGTCCCTTTAACAGTTTTGATTTCACAGGAAGTTACGGTGACGCCTTTAAAGATGTTTAATTAACGTACAAATTAGCACTTTTACGTGGGAAAACATGTACACACGGACAAATACACAGCTTTGTCTTAAAAGTGCGTGACAGTCACAGTTGCGGAGCTTAAATGAAGCCCGGGTTGATGCATTATTCTGTGTGAATGAAGAAAAAACACTGAATATACAGTAAATGTGTACATGTAGGATTATAATGTGTGTAACATAAGAGGAGTATCTCACAGACATACTTATCCCTGAATTAAATGTAATTAATTCATCTCACGGCGTTTTACATATCATCTTCTCTTTGTTTCTTACACATTACATCTGCAAATAACTGTAAGATCTATAAACTGTTCAAACTAAATTGGTTTGCTCAAATATTGTCCTTTAATAAAATACCACACATTTTACAGTAATTGTATTTAATCCTAATGAAATACAAGTTCCTAACTAACCTCACGAACATACCGAACACTTGGTTTTTGCAAATTACTTTTATGTATCCAATTGTTTTTTTTAATTGAGAGACCGGATGTAAGTTTTTTTCCAGCCCCCGAGTTAGTGCATGTGTTATTATTTATAATCTAATAGAAAAACTTTCTGACCAATATCAAATGTGTGGTCTTTTTGGTATAAATTGATTAAATGAACACTGATACTGTTTTCTGAATCATATTTATTACCATAAAACTAAGACGCACATTTTCAATTTGCAATTATTCTTCAAGATCAAGTTTCTGTGAAAATTCCCAATGACATACACAGAACACTAATCAACCTATTCAAAAAAAAAACGTACTGTTTATCATTTGCTGATATTTTACAAGCTGTTAAGCAGACACCAACACCTACACAAACTTGCAAACATACACACGTGTTTTTGCACACGGTGTTTCCTACTTTCCTTCGCATCTCACACTCTCCTACGACCATATGCAGAAGCTAACGCATGCTTTCTAACTCTGCAAAAAAAAACACCCACATGTTCGTGCTCGTAGATCTTTAAAATAAAAACACACGCACACACTGGCGAGCGTGCACGCACACACACACAAAGAGATGCCATTCATTCATTCAGCGTCCTTTCAGCTGCCGGAAAAAAGGGGATCTGATGAGGGAGCGTACACTCAAAATGACCAGCGTTCCCTTTCCTGTCCACTTCTCTGTCCACACTTGGGAAAAGTCCACGCAGAGATAAGTACACACACACATTGAGAGTAAAATGCTCTGGGGAAGTGAATGACAATAACTTACACTGTATGTCTGTATATTACAGAACTGAAGAAGTAGGCTCTTATTCTAAGCTGATGATGAATAACACACACACACACACTTTATAGTACAGCATTTCCCACACAGGGGCTTGAAAAAGAAATTCTTCACACACCCACACAAAACATACAACCTATATCCCACACATAGTCACACACAGACAGAAAAAACACAGACACACACACACACACACAAACAAACAAAACACACACACCACACACACACACACCCCAACAGTCTTATACTGTAGTGTAGGCTAAGACTGCTACCTACGCCTTGTTTTAAAAACACACACACACATGAACATACTCACAGCAAGAGTGAGCGGAAATAGTGAGTAGTGAGTGAGACGATAATAGTCGCTAAGGTCAGGAAGTCTCACACACACACTTATCATAAGCATGTTGTCAGACTTTTTGAAGAAACAAACAACTGCAAGATTTGTCCAAAACTTGCTGTTAAATATTTCTCTTTTCCTCCGTCTTCGTCTTTTATCTACGCTGGGTGTACTCTCCGAGGCATTCCTCATTCTCTTTCTGATCTAATCCCTTTTTTTCTCCCTCTCTCTCTAAAACACAAAATCAAAAACAAGTTGATGGAAACTGGCCTACATACATGTAGCCCACACGCTCCAAACCAACCCTTTTGCTGCCGTCTTTAAATGTTAATTTATTGTGCAGCACTGATTTGAAGCAGCTTACACTCCATTATTTAGTTTTTCTTCAGATTGTTATGGAACTTCTTCGTTCCTTTCTATATGAATCCATTGTGGTTGCATTGTGTTCTTGTCTATATAGTGTAGGTATGATTGCTACCACTCAGCCACGAAGTCTCTGTCTATAAGGACTAGAATATAAGAGGGACTCTCCAATATCGACCAAACTACTCCTGTATAACGTACTGGCCTAATCCCAACAGAAAACCACCCATGCCTGTGCATATATTTATTTCTCTCTCACACACGCACATGCATTAATACAGAGAAAATTATTTTTTCATCCGAATAGTGTGTCACTTACTGTTTGCATTTCAAATCAAACAATGTATTATTACTTTGGTGTATTTATCTTGCAATGACTTAAGTATGCACAAATGATCTGTCCAACCATGTCAATCGGGGCTCTCTTCCTCTGAGTTACCGTGAGGGTAAATACTTTACTGGGTGCCCTATTGCAACTGTTTGATATAGTGATTTAAAAAAAAATGTTTGAGTCATCAGCAGAGATTCTCACAAACTTTTTTTAAGTGCCCGTTTGAGAGCTTACATAGGTCACATGATCAGCTGTAGCATTGAGTTTAGTTCTACCAGCAGACATGAGGATGGTGGACAGAACACACACACACACACACACACACACACACACACACACCACACACACACACACACACACACACACACACCACACACACAACACACACACACACACACACACACACACACCACACACACACACACACACCACACACACACACACACACACACACACACACACACACACACCACACACACACACACACACACACCACACACACACAACACACCACACACACACACACACACACACACACACACACACACACACACACACACACACACACACACACACACCACACACACACACACACACCACACACACACACACACACACACACACACACACACACACACACACACACACACACACACACACACCACACACACACACACACACACACACACACACACACACACACACCACACACACACACACACACACACCACACACACACACACACACACACACCACACACACAATTTGATAATGAAAAAATATTAATAGAGCAGCAAATAACAAAGCACGGTTCTCTCTGTGGAACTGCTACCTCCGCGACCCGACCACGGATAAGCGGGAGAAGATGGATGGTCCTCTAGTCTCCATTTTATTTTTAAGGAAAATGTCCTTTATTAAATTAAAAAAATTAAAGCTTCAATACATCTCCCTCTCTTTCAATCTGTGTGTGAACATGTGTGTTTGTGTGTGTACAAAAATTAAACAAAAGCCAACTCGTGAAACTACATTTTCACATCATTTGTCTCGTCTTCGTCTCATTTATGAATGCAACTTGCAATAGCTTCAACTGAATTCACATTAATAAAGAAAACTATTTCTGATTCTCCTCTGGTGCTTTTCTCAAGATGTAGCTGCACTATCTCTGCATTTCTCTGTGGAGTCTCACTACAAGAATTATTAGTATTTTACTGCAAAATGCTGGATAACCTGCTAGTTCAAGGCCAGTGAACAGAGCGACTCGTCAGTCCTTTCAGAGGGATCTCTGTTTTGGCAGCAGATCACACTACAGAGCCTCACAGCTACCAAACAAGACATCCATTATGAAGGTACGAGACCATTCCGGATTTAGTCATATTTACTCTATGGATGGTAAATACAATATAAACACAAACTAAAGGATATTAATTACGCAGAGAGCCCCTAAGCCTTTATGCCACACAACTAGGGGATGTTACAGAAATGTTACTTTCTAAATATTTGGATTTATAAAAAAAAAAAAATGAAATCAAGGAGAATATTTCCTTAATTTTTCATTTGTATGTACAGTAGGGCTGTGCGATTATGGCAAAAATCATAATCACGATTATTTTGGTCAATAATTGATATCACGATTATTAAATACGATTATTCATTGACTTTGAAAACATCCATTTATTGAACTTTTAAATACAAATAATAATTTGAACAGTATTTTTAACTGTTGATTTCCCTGAACGTATAATTCAACTGAAAAACCAATACAAAAATAAATGATACATTTATATCTACATTTAAATAAATAATATCAAAATAATAAATACCAATAAACAAGATCAACATATATTTTGGAGTGCACTTCAACAAGCTACTAAACATATATAAATATGATAAATACAAATACATTAGATCAAATATGTTGCAGTGCACTGTCACAACCTAGCAAAGCACAATAATCGTTTTTTTCGATTATGTTGTTTTCGTAATTGTGGCAGGCCAAAATCGTAATTGCGATTAAAATACGATTAATTGTACAGAGCTACAATTTGGTATCTCGTGTAAGAATACACTTTGTCTCAACATCTCATGTATAGTATACAAAATTAACTAAAGCACATTCATAACAGAAAATATATACTTTCTCAGAATTCTGTATAACTATTCTTCATTTTGTAATAGGTAGACTGTATATTTAAAACACTTTTTTTTTCAAATTACCTAGTCAATGTTTTTTCTTCTAATCTTATTTCCTTTCAAAATTATATATTTAGCTTCAGGAGTTTTGCTTTGGAGTTTTGTCAAGTGATTACAAATATTGATCATGTGATCAGAGTATTGAATATGCTTTCCAAATGCAGCCCAGTTCACACTTTGCAGCTCAAATCTCCTTCTCATTCCTTCAAAATCCCTGACCTCACACACCAATCACACACACATTATGAAGACTCTCTCACCTGTGCCGGGACGTCCCATGATGATGTCCTTCCGTGGGGCGGGGTGAAGGTTTTCGGCAGGAAGGATCAGGGGCAGCAGAGCGGTGGGAGAGGGGTGACAGGGGACCGGCTGTTGGACCTCACCCCCAAACCCGGTCCCCCTGTTCTCGTCCGCAGAGGAGTCCGTGCTGCTGGGAGCGGGAGCTGTGACTGTTGTGCTGCTGGGAACTGACAGGGCCAGCAGGGGGGCGGCGGGGGGGTCAGCTGTGGGCAGTGAAGAGGGGGTCGGGGACGCGAGCACCAGAGTTTGGGACGCGCTCCGCAGCAGAATTGTGCCATTAGGTACTGTGGCTGCAGCAGCGTTAATGGGGACAGGAACCTGGAGGCCCTGAATTGACTGAGGGGCGAGGGGTGTGAGGTCTTTAGATGAACTTTTATCTCCCCCTCCCTCGTTTCCACCTCCTCTTCCTAGGGGACACTCTGTAAATGTGGCCAGTGGGACTTCGGGATTTCTCACAATGACAGGGGAGTCACGTAAGGCCTGTTGGGATACAGGGACCACACGACGGGGCCCTCCGTCTGGAGTGAGGGGAGAAGGAGGGGTCGGGGACACCAGCAGAGGAGGAGGGGAGACATTAGTGGAGGACGGTGGCCTGCTGGAGGGGGTCGTCACTCCTCTGGGTCGGGAGAAGGTGGGTGTGTGTGTGCGGGAAGCCTGTGTGTGAGGCGACAGCACCCTGAAGGAGCTGTTGAGGTCCCCCGACTCCTGCTCCGTCTTGGGTGTGTAATCATGGTGGTGTGAGGGGAGGGGAGGAGGAAGAGGCGCGTCGGGCTTTCGTTTGCTGGGGCTCATTGGGACCGTAAACATCAGGTTGCTGTGGAAGGAGGGCTGGATGCCTGAAGTGTGTCTCTCCCTTTCTCCTCCTCCAGCTGATACCTTACTCCCCCCTGCTCCTCCTCCCCCTGTCCCGCTGGGCTGCCTGTGCCTCCGGTGCTGCAGGATGGGGGAGGCGGTAATCGGGGAGAAGTTGGCCGGCCTGAAGCCAAACAGCGGGGAGGGAGAGGGAGAAGGGGCGGGTGAGAAGGGCGACTGGTTGGAGATGGGAGAAAAAGAGGGGGTGCCAGATCGAGAGCTCCCTAAAGACACTAACATGGTGGCGGCCTCACACTCATCGAAGTCAAAGCGGGAGGAGAGGTCATGGGGGAGGATGGACGGGAGCACTAAGTGGGGTCTGGAGTCTCCCCTGCTACCTGCCTCGCTGCTCTCTCTTGAGGTGTCATCCCACTCAAACTCACTGCTGGCTCTCCCCCGCAGGTCAGGGGTGACTGTCCCTGAGCTGCTGCCTCCCCCCCCCTCCTCCCTCCATCTCTTTGGTCCTCATGGACAGGTGTCTGGAGCAGTAGCCCCGGCGCTGGGACTCCTTCATGCATCCCTCCCTGGAGCACAGCCTCCTCCACTGCTTCCCGTTGAACTTTACGGATCCCGTTGGGGGTGCACACCACGTCGCCCTTCTTGTATTTCTGCTGAGCCAATGAGAGGGGGGTCCTGGAGCGAGAGGAGCAAGGAGGACCCACACCAGAAGTGGGAGTAGGGGTCTGAGTGGGAGTGGTCTTTGATGGAGGTAGGTTAGGTGTGGTCGGGCTCATTTCAGAGACCAATAAGGCAGGGGAATGGGGTGGCTGTGGGCTGGCGAGGGTGGAGGGGTGAGGGGGTCCCAGGCCTCGCACCACAGAGAGGTGGGGGGGGAGGGGGGGGGGTAGCGACTGGACTTGGAGATGATGTTTCGGTGCTGAGAGGTGCCATCGTTTGTCTTGGGGCCAGCAGTGTTAAAACGGGACACCTCTACGTCCTCTTCCGGAGTGTTGGGCTGCTTCTCTCTCTCTGTTGGGGGAGTTTTCTCCATGAACTGTGCTGCCGGCGACGCTCGATGACGCAGTGGAGGAGTGGGGGGTCGGGAGTGCGTTACCATAGGGATGCCCTCCTGCAACCCCTTCATGTGAGAAACCATGGCCCAACCTTGCTCCCCCTCCCAGCCCCCATGCCAATACTCAACTGGCACACTTCCCTTTCGACCTCCATCTCCTCCCTCCGCTCCCTCTCCTCCCTTTCCCTCTCCCGCTCTCTCTTTGGCCCTCCCTCCGTCCAACTGTTGGACCTCCCAGGGAGGGGTGAGGAGCCTAAGACTTGTCGGGACACCCACACAGCCAGAGCTTTCCTCCCTCTTTCTCTTTCTCTTCCCCAAGAGTCTCTGCGTCTTCACTCAGGAGCACCTGGTAAGGAAATGACACACCGGGTGGGGGTCCACCGGAATGACAACCCCCCTCTCTGTACAGCAGAGGACCCCCCTCATCTCCCCAAAGGGCACGCATACTTGGGTCCTGACAGCCACAGGTGCCAGGCCGGGTGGGGGGCGGCGTCCAAAAGACTCCACAGTGCTCTCAGCCCCCTAAGGTGATGCCATTACAGTCCCAACATGGAAAGGGTATTTAACAAGGGTCTCCTCTCCATGGAGCTGCCACTTCAACTGTTTCTCCACTCACACTACGCACCACCCCCTGGTCTGAACGCAGGTGATAAAGTCAAAGAGTCACGCCCCTTACCCCCATTGTTCATTCTCCTCTTGGCCGGCGAGCAATAACTCTCTGGTTCTTCATGCCTTTGGCCAGAGCTTCAGCGAGACCCTCTGACAGACTGGGCTCTTTAATGTGTCGAGTTATGGAGAGGAGCTGGGTAGCTGGGAGTTTTATTTTTTGATGAAGGTTTGGTCCTGTGCGTCCATCGCGTCCAGGTCAGCTGGTGCTCGCTGGCTGTGTCGGGTGGACGAGGAGCGTGCTGAGTGAGGGGGCCCCCTCGGACTCATTTTCCCAGCTTGGGACTCTTTTTCCGTGGGAATCTGCTCGCCTGAGGGCTTTGTCCTCCGTGGAAACAAAATGGTTGCTTCTGTAGCTTTACTATCCACAGTTAGCACTGATGGCTGATTACCTGAGCAATATTACTTCTACTATTACTGCTATTGATAAAAGATGGCTCCCAGCACTACTGTTAGTCAGTGTTAATACCACTTGTAGTGTTTACTCGTAGTACTATTGATGCTTTTATAAATGCTATTTGTTATATGGTTCTTGGAATTATTAATTGGGTGTATTAATAATACCACTGATTCTGTTATTAATAGTGCATAGAACTGTTGTGTATGAGTGCAGGGTTGGAGGTAGTAATGGTGGTCAGGGCATTGTAGCAAAGTGCTCATATGTGTATTTTTTCTTGGGTATACGAGCCTTGAATGTGGCTGTTTTCCTACTAGAGACTGAGCCTAAACTGGGGACGTGATGGTGGCCGGAGGGGGCGTGGCTGTGGAGAGTGGCGTCGGGGCAGAGGGAGGAAAATGCTACAGTATTAATGGCCAAAAGATTATTTCCATTCGTGCCAACTATCTTCTCCTTTTCTGGCTTTCGTCTGCCTTCTGTGCTATTTTCTCTCCTGACTCACAGGTTTCCTCAGCTCAGTCGCCTCCCTCCCCCCTGGGGGTATTGCTATTTGTGATTTGGTTCTTCGTTAGTGTTCAGGGCTGTTGGCGGGGGTCTGTTTGCGGTGCAGGTGGTGTTGGGTGTATGCTGTGTGGTTTTTGGACGAGCGTCTCCTCTCTTGACTCTTTTGGGGTCTTTCTCTTGGAGGGGCTGCGAGCCTCCTCCTCCTTTTCCCCCCTCTGCCTCTCGTTAACGGGGGTGAACGCCCTCTGTGCTTCTTTAGTGGTCTCATCTCTTCTTCGCTGTTCACAAAGTGCAGATTTTGTTGCGCTCCTCTCTTTCACTCCCTAAGGCACTCCTTTTGTGTCTCCCTCTTCTTTTCCTTGTCCCCTGTTCTCCTGTCCTCTGTATGCAGGCTGGAAAGAAGAGGGAGACAACAGAAGACAGGTGGTCATTTATTATCTTCATAATCAAAAATTGCTGAGAATAAAAATGACGTCAGTCCTGGAAGTGTGCTACACTGCACCGGCTATCGCATTGGCTCTAAATCTGACGTATGCTCTCAATGACTGCCCTGATATACTAGAGCCTTGATGCGAGCATGACCGTGTTTGTTTGTCCATACATGCAGTTTGTATAGTCAAAACATTAAATGTCTCTTTTTGTTATCCACCATTTAGACAGCAACCTATAACATCCATATTTTTTCTCCAGACCGTGTCATATTTATCTTAATATTAACCCATAAGGACCACCGTGATACGGGTGTCACATGAACTTTAAATGTTCCTTATACAGCTTTAGCCTTGTTTTTATCTCATGAAGTCCCTAAGTGACCACACCATGAACAGTCTGGTGGGTCCTGGTCCAGGTCATGTGACTTTGTGTTCCCATAACAACATGTCCAGACTAACACATGTGACATAACGAATGTTTGTTGATAAAGGTCAAATTTCAAGCCATTTAAGAATGAAAATGCTTACATAACATGTCCTTTATTACGTTTAACCTGTTGTGGAAACATTTCTTGATCACATTGATATGAAACAAAATGAGACAAACATCGCGGTGATACTGGTGTCACATCGGGACTTTAACCCTAAACGTTCACAGTAAACCCAAAGTGACATATATGCACAATTAGAAATACGATTATGTTTCTGCTCAGTTAATTTAGTCTGATTCAATTATATTGAGTTAATATGTTTCTTATTCTTCAATTCAAAGAATGTTCAAACTAATTTAAACCAAAAAATCATCCTCATTAATTAAGTTAAATATGAGAGTTATTTTACCATTAAAGCCCAATGTGACATATGTCACATTTCAGATATTTGAACTAGGGGGGGTTTCGTTGTCGGAAATGTGTTCTAGGTGGTCTATTTAGTCTAAATTATGTTCCTCTCATTTTCCCAAAGGTATAAATGGGTCAGGTTCTATGTGGGTTAATGAAAAAGTGGGAAAAATGTTATATTTAACAAGAACCACCTAGAATTTAGGAATTGAGATGTTAATAATCACACTTTCTAGATTTCTGTGAGCATATTGGTTCT